CTCTGGGTGTTGTAATCCATTTTTCCCACACGCCAACCCATCCAGCCTTTCGGTGCTAGATCGTTTATTGACTCCTTGCAAATCATCTGACCGGTGCTCTGTCTGTGCACCAAATGGGACTTCCCAAGGCTCATGTGAGTCAATGTATTGATATAAACCCACACCCCTGGGAATGTGGTAAACTTTGAAAAGCAGATTGAAGGCACGATCTGAAGGTCAGCTGGGTGTGATGACTCTCAGATCGGAGCCTTCGCTCAGTGAAGTCAAGTAATTGGGGCCTCCAGTAGGAAAGTGAACAGATTCCAGCTTTTTCGCCCGAGATCACGTCTGCTGTTATTGTGTCTGTGTTTTGTGTACGGATTAAAAACAGAAATTTATTAGAAATTAAATACAAAAAACAATAAAACACAAAACCAAATATAAAAGAGCCGTTCTGTAATAATGGAAGCGTCGTGCCCTGCAAGATTAATGATTATTTCATAGTATAATCCAATGCTTTTTTACTGTTTCCTAATAAAAGCGTTTTAATAACAAAATAACTGGAGACTTTTATTGTGAAGAATTTATAGGAAGTTTAATGTGTTCATCATTGGAGTGGAGCTTCGTTAGCAGCTCTTTCTGCTTGTACAGACACACCTTTGAGCAGATAGCCCTGTTGTTGCAGAGTCAAACAGATTATCGCTCAATAGTTTGCTCCAATACTTACTGGGTAATATCAGAAGATTGCAGCTGGTTCAGAATAAAGCGGCACGTGCAGCTCTTTCTTGAGGGATGAGAGCCAATGATACTAGAAGGCATAAATGTCTCTCTCTTGGCTAGAAGTGAAAAAAAGATTACTGTATTCACTGATGGTTTTCATTAGAAACGTCACAACAACAAAGACTCCATTCATGTTTCACAAAAGACTTTCTTTTAGTTCAGATACAGAGTCACGCTGCTGAAAGGTTGTTTTACTTTGTGCTAGAATGGAATCCACTTCCAAATCTTACAACTAAATAATATATATATGGTTTTAATGCCAAAAGTTACTTCAAAGGAATCTGAGTCATTATTAAGTACTCTTTGGTGTGAGGGTGTTTTATGGGCAATCAAGGTGAACGTTAAGTTCATTATACAGAGACGGGTTTATTGTTGTTTTTATTTTTGTGTCCATATTGTGTGTCAATTGTTCCTTTATATGTGCATATATACATATATAGACTTAGACTTAGACAGACTTAGACAGACTGTATTTGTCATTTGGATTTGCATCAAAATGAAATTACGTTACAATGACGCACAGCACAGCAGGAATAGAGGCGAGGCAGTACGTACAGTCGAAAAAATAGATATGCAGATATAAAACTTTTATACAAAAAAAAGTTTTAGTTGATAAGATAAGATAAGAAAACCT